TTGCTTCACCACTCTCTTAACCTCTCTCTTTTTCTCCATTTTACTTTTCCCCTCCTTGCAATCACTTCTTACTTTGTAAAAAACTTCTCATATGTTTAACTTTTTCCCCCCTTTAAACTACTCTCTTTACATCATCATTCCCAAACCAATCGCTCCTCTTCCCTCCTGCACCCACTTTCCCTGAAACCCACAAACTTTGCTGAACACTCTAACACTACATTTTTAATCCTACCCCATACCTCTTCGACCCCATTGCCTATGCTCTCATTAGCCCATCTATCCTCCAATAGTGTTTTATATCTTACCTAACTGCTCCTCTTTTAGTTTATAAACCTTCACCTCTCTTTTCCCCTGATGCTTCTTTTTCTCCTTGTATCCCATCTACCTTTTTCTCAGTGTAGCTACAACTAGAAAGTGATCTGATATATCTGTGGCCCTCTATAAACATGTACATCCTGAAGTCTACTCAACAGTCTTTTATCTACCAATACATAATCCAACAAACTACTGTCATTTCGCCCTACCCTCATATCTTGTATACTTATTTATCCTCTTTTTCTTAAAATATGTATTACCTATAACTAAACCCCTTTCTATACAAAGTTCAATCAAAGGGCTCCCCTTATCATTTACACCTGGCACCCCAAACTTACCTACCACACCCTCTCTAAAAGGTTTCCCCTACTTTAGCATTCAGGTCCCCTACCACAATTACTCTCTCACTTGGTTCAAAGGCTCCTATACATTTTACTTAACATCTCCAAAATCTCTCTCTCTCCTCTGCATTCCTCTCTTCTCCCCGGTGCATCACGCTTATTATGACTCACTTCTCACATCCAAACCTTTACTTTAATCCACATAATTCTTGAATTTTTCACATTCATATTCTCTTTTTTCCTTCCATAACTGATCATTTAACATTACTGCTACCCCTTCCTTTGCTCTAACTCTCTCAGATACTCCAGATTTAATCCCATTTATTTCCCCCCACTGAAACTCTCCTACCCCCCTTTAGCTTTGTTTTGCGTAGAGCCAGGACATCCAACTTCTTTTCATGCATAACATCAGCAATCATCTGTTTCTTGTCATCCGCACTACATCCACGCACATTTAAGCATCCCAGTTTTATAAAGTTTTTTTTTCTCTTTTTAGTAAATGTATACAGGAGAAGGGGTTACTAGCCCATTCCTCCCGGCATTTTAGTCGCCTCATACGACACGCATGGCTTACGGAGGAAAGATTTTTTTTCCACTTCCCCATGGACAATAGAAGAAATAAAAAAGAACAAGAGCTATTTAGAAAGAGGAGAAAAACCTAGATGTATGTATATATATATATGCATGTGTGTGTCTGTGAAGTGTGACCAAAGTGTAAGTAGGAGTAGCAAGATATCCCTGTTATCTAGCGTGTTTATGAGACAGAAAAAGAAACCAGCAATCCTACCATCATGCAAAAACAGTTACAGGTTTTTGTTTCACAGTCATCTGGCAGGACGGTAGTACTTCCCTGGGTGGTTGCTGTCTACCAACCTACTACCTATGTCTGTTGTAAAATCAATTGTGGCACTGGGGAGTTCCATGGGGTTGGATGTGAGTTTGGAGGATGTGGAAGAATTGGTGGAAGACCACAATGAAGAGCTCGTCACTGAGGAGCTGCAAGAGCTTCAGTAGGAAGAGCAACACATCGCAGCTCAGAATCTTGCTGCAGAGGAGGAGGAAGAGAGATGGAAGAAGGTGCCTTCTTCAGAAATTAGGGATTTTTACTATGTGGGGTAAGATGGAAAGCTTTATGGAGAAACATCACCCTAACAAGGTTTTTTGGGAAGCCAGGTTGGCAACATGTACAGTGACAAAGTCTTGGCCCATTTTAGGGGAAGTGTTAAAGAGATGTTTAGAAACCCGAGCTCTCTCAAGTTATTTTGCGAGACAGGACTCCAGTGGGTTCAAGGTGGTCTAGTGGCATTTTAAAAAACAGAGAAGAGAAGCAACCCCAGAAAGCAAATGGTACCTAGGTCGTTGATGAGGGTTTCCCCTTCCAAACTATAAACAATCCACTCTCTCCTCCTCTCCCCTCCAGTCTCCATACACTAGAAGAATCTCCAATAAAGGTAAGTGTTATGCTGTTAATTTTCATTCATCATTTCCCATTGTATTGTTTAGTTTTACTATGTATAAATTTTATGTTTAAAAAAAATTTTTTTTTTTAATACTTCTGGGTGTCAGGAACGGATTAATTGTATTTACATTATTTCTTATGGGGAAAATTGATTCGTAAATCGTAAATTTCGTTTATAGTAACGGCTCCAGGAACGGATTAATTACGAAAAACGAGGGACCACTGTAATAAGTGTACTCTGTGTGTATCTTACCTTTTATTGTGTTTTTAATGCCTATTTCTATTGCTAACTTAATATAAGTTAGTGTAAACTTGTTTTCTGGCATTTATTGGATATTGTATGTGCTCTGATAATAATACTTGTGGACCTGTGTGGTAGCCGGGTGGAGGGACAACATTACGTTTTCTCTGCTCAGCCATCAGAGAAAACGTGTTTATAAATCTGCGTTTGGCCCAGCCACTCCCCCACTCCGCGTTTGTTTACAATTTTTGGCATGAATTATTCATTACTTCTTCCTTCGTTTATGATGGCATCTAAAGGTAGTTGTTAGAAATTATTAAATTCAGTGAACAAGGTTTTGTCGATGTTAATAATATGGCTCTGGGCCATAGTGTAGGTAGCCGGTAGGTGTAGCCCGCCTGGGCTACACCTACCGGCTACCTACACTGACTACCTACAAATAAATACTACTCACCTCTCTTCCTATATTAAGACTACACATATTTTAAGGTAAATAATGAGTGTACTGTATGAGTATTTTACCTCTCTGGGATGTTTTAAATATCGTATATTAAGTATGAGACGGGGAGCCAGGGCTACCTGCACCTGACTTCCTACAAATAAGTACTACTCACCTCTCTCCCTACATTAAGATTACAAATACTTTAAGATAAGTAATGAATGTACTGTGAATGTATTTTACTTTGTGTTTTTAATGCCTAGTTCTATTACTAACTTAATATAATTTAGTGTAAACTTGTTGTCGGGCATTTATATGCATTTATAAATGGAAAAAAAATGGCGTTCTGCCTTCCAGCGATGTCTGCTTTCCGGCGACAGCCTGGAACCTAACCCGCCGTATAAGTGGGGCCCTACTGTATACAGTATATGCTTGTATACATGTATGTGTAGTGTGCCCTAAGTTTAAGAAGAAGTAGAAAGACGTACCTAAAATGTTGCATGTTTATGAGACAGAAAAAACGACACCAGAAATTTCCTACCATCATGTAAAACAATTACAGGTTTCCGTTTTACACTCACCTGGCAGGACAGTATTTAAAATTGAAATATATGGATTAAAACAAGGGTGGTATGCAAAAAAGTCGGTTATGTTGTGTTTATGCACATGGGGGAGAGGAGTGTAGAACCAAGTGAGAAAGTACTTGTAAGGTACCTAAATTCTAAAGTAGGAGAAACTGTTTTTAAAAGGGTATAGTTAGTAAGCATGGGTACCAGGAGTAAATGATAATGGGGGCTTTTAAGTGAATTTTGTTTAGAAAGGGTTTTTTTTAGTAGGTAATACATATTTTAAAGGGTTAAATAAATGAGATATGAATAGGGCATAATAAACAGGGGTTTGTTAGACTGTCTTAAATAAAAGGTTTATGAGATACTTTTGGATGTGCATGTTTTTAGAGGGGCAAAAAGATATGCCAGATTATTATTTAGTTGTAGATGCATTTATTTTTTATCATCAAAACTAAGTGCTGAACCACCAGGTTATCAGCGCTGCATGGTAGAGGTTATAAGGTCACTGAAGAGTGCTAAAGGAAGTATAATCAAAGGTTGTGTAATAAATATGTTGCTGTCAAAAAATCAAAGAGGAATTCAGTTATTTGCTACAGTGGGAGTAAGAGGTAAATGGGGGTACAAGGAGAATGTTGTTATTGAGTAAAAAAGTGAAAAGTTTATAAATTAGAGCAGGAGGTATTGGGTAAAAATATAAACAACTGTTGGGGAGAAAGATGGGCTAGAGTATAGGTAATGAGGAGGTGTGAGGTATATTTAAGAAAGCAGTGTTAGTGTGCAGCAGAAGTCTGTGGGTATGGGATGGTGGATGTGAGAGGGAAGACAAGCAATAGGAAAATTTATGAGATAGAGTAGTAAGGGAGAAAAAAAATTACCATACAAGAGGTTTTTTTTCAAAGCATTGTTGATATTTAAAGGGGGGTGGAGTATATAGAGTAGAGAAATTAAGAGAGTGGTGATGAAGTATAAGAAGAGAGCAAATGAGAATGTGCATGAATTTTGTCAATAAATTTTTTGAGAATAAGGAAAAAATTTTGAAGTGAGATAAATAAGTTTAGAAAAATAGGGAAAAAAAATGGATTTGTTTTT